ATCATTCACCATCTCGTTTACGCTAAAACACGCCGCCGTCCGTCACCAAACGACCCTCACCCCCCCCCCCCCCCCCGCCCACACGTCCTCCTCTTCCAGCATCTCGATCGTGACTCATCTCAGTGTCATCTCAGCCTCTCGGAGCATCGCTTGTGTTGGAAGGGGGGGGGGGGGAGGGGGAATTAATGGGAGTGAGTGTAGGGTGGAAAAAAGGTGTAAGAATGGTGGAGGGGGGAGGGGGGGGGGTTAAGGGGACAAGGGGGTGGGAGTGGGCTAAAAGAGGTGGGATGGGGGGATGGGGGGTGGGGTGGTGGGGGAGGGAGGAGAAAGATGGTGGGAGGAAAGGGAGAAAGGGGAGGAAAGGGAGAAAGGCGAGGGAAGAGAGGGAGAAAGGGATAAGGGAATACGGGAAAGAGAGTGTATGAAATTGTGAAGAAGGTGGTGAGAGAGAGGGAAAGAGAAAGGGAGGGAAGAGAAGGAGAGAGAGTGTATAAAAGTGTGAAGAAGGAGGTGAGAGAGAGGGAGAGAGAGAGAAAGAGAAGGAAAGAGAAAGAGAGAGAGCAAGAGCAAGAGCAAGAGCAAGAGAGAGAGAGAAAGGAAGCCGAAGCCAGAACAAAAGTCACTCGCGTTCGAATCCTCCTCCAATTCCACAGCTATTATCCAAGTCGACGCTCCTTACCAATCGCTCTCTCTTCTTATCTTTTCCTATCACTTCTTATCAGTATTTTATGGCAATTCCTTCACTTCTGCCCGAACCATCTCACCTCACGTCCCTGTCTGTCGTGAACGGGTGAATAAGAAACAAACTTGGGCGTCGGTTTTCGATTTAATAGGCCATTTGAACTCTAATTTTGTTTTCTTTTCTTTTTTACCTTTTTATACTTTTTTTTAATACAATCCTTTTCACTTTACAGTTTTTTTCCTTTTCTACGCATTAAATTTTATCATTATTTCTGTTTTTTTTACAATGTTACCTTATTTTTCTTTTCTTTTTACCTTATTATTATTATTATTGTTATTATTGTCATTATTAATATTATTGATATTATTATTATTATTATCATTATTATTATTATTAATAATATCATTATCATTATCATCATTACTTTACATTTTTCTCCCCAGTCAACTCACTCCTAAGCATCCCGGGGACTCCCCAGGGACAGCGAAGGAATGCTGTGATCTTCCTTAATTTCGCGAGAGCTTCGCCTTCCTGTCAAGTTTTGCTCTGATCCGGAGTTTTTGCTTGTTTTGAAGTTTTGTGTGTGTGTTGTCTTTCTTTTTTTTTTTTTCTTTTCTAGCTTCTCTCCGTGTTTGTGTCTTTCTTTGTTTCTCTCTCGCTCTTTCTTTAATTATCTATTCATTTTTCTCTCTCTATACCTATCTATCTTTCGATTTATCTGTCTATATGAATATACACACACACAAACACCCCCACACATATACGCACACACACACACACACACACACACAAATATATATATATATATATATATATATATATATATATATATATATATATATAAAAAAATATGTGTGTGTGTGTGTGTGTGT